TTCTAGTTACAACAGAGTGCCCAGACTAGTAGGTTAAGATGAACAGGTGTCTCAAAAGACAATCTATGTGAGTTGAACATGAGGCTGGCCATGAGGGCCTCTGAAATATTAATCACTGTCAATCTTTCTCATCCTTTTGGTGCTGTACATATTATTCCACCCCCTCTGTCTTCCCCTATGGCCCAGCCCCCTCCAACACCTACCTACCTCACGCAGCTGCCTTGTTAATCAAGTCGTCAGCAGCCATTAGCTGGGTGGAGATGCTTACATCAATGATAAGGAATTACATCTGATGGTGACATTTTTCCCAGCCAACTTCTGTCTGAGGGCCTGGCCTATATTCCCTTCTTGTCAAGAACTGAGCCCATGAGAGAAGCTATTATCTTAAGTGGGTGCCCAACTCTCTATTCCCGTTGAAGGGATGGAATTAGTTATTCATCAAACCTGACTACATTTCTATTTTCTTGGAAAAATACTTCTCTGAATTTTTAGGTAGACTAAAAGAATTGGAAATACAGATTGTCAGAGAGAGAAGAGATTTTTAATGATTGTCTCATCTAACTTCTTCATTTTATAGAGGAGGTAACTGAGACCCAAAGGCAAAGTGTCTTATTCAATGTTACAAGAGGAATTGTGACAGAGCCAGCATAGGAACAGAGGTGGGAGAAGCTGGGGAACAATAGGCATTTATAATGTCAAGTTACACGTTTTCATAATTTTATCCATAAAGAAAACCTTCTCTCATTGCATTTAACTTGGAACTATAAAATTCCAAACCATTAGAATCCCTTAATACTTTTCATTTGATATGATTGTCACTCTCTTACTTTCTTTTGCCTATCAGATTTACTGACAAAACATCTCCAACCAGGAACAAGAAAATAGCTTAATGCATTGTGGACCTAATATACACTAGGTACTATTTTAGGCAGTTTTATGAGACACAGTCCCTCTGAGTGGAGAGACTGTATAACTCATCTAAAGTCATAGGGCCAGGAAATTGGACCTGTCTGACTCAAAAGCCCTGATTGAACACAAATTGGCTCTTATTCCCCCATGCCAGGCAGTTTACATCAATCATCTCATTGCTCAGATAAAAGAAACTTCACATGCACACTGACTACTAGCACACTGGCCAGCACACAGTAGGCCCTAAATAAATAAAGGGCAATTCCTTCTGCCCTTCTCTGCAGGTGTCAAGAATAGATTTGAGTCATTTTTCTTATGAATATTTAATAATATTAATATACATTCATATACAACATATGTATAATACAAGATACAAAAACTTAGGTGCATATGACTATATTTTTATTTAATTGTGGGAAATATTGTGAAATCTATCTCTATGTATTAAACTAGTTTTTTCAGTAATTTTTGTATAGGCATTTTCCCAAAAGAGAAAACATCATTGAAAAATATCACATATTCCAAAGTGGAGTTTGAATTCTATTCAGCAAATTTTCCTATTCCAGAAAAATTGTGCAGAAGGAGACACATCTGAGATCCCAGGAGAGCAGCAACCCAGGGGTTTGGCTCCACTTTCTGCACTTGCCATTCTCTTTAAATTGTTCATAGTGTGTCCTATATAAATACTGTAGAGGGACCAGGAGTTAGGAAATCTGGATTGTTTTACGTAGGCAACAATGCATTAAGATTTGTTTAAGTAATAAAGTACAGGCTACGGTAGAACTTTTGATTAACCTAAAACTCTCCTGAAACTGAATATTCTGAAAGCTGTTTTTATAACCATAAATTTTAGCATAAGAGCATGAGCATTGTGCAGCAGTGTGAGGGTGCCTGTACTGGGAGGCAAGGGTCACCTAGCGTTGACACTTGGAGACACCTTATTCATATGTATGGCCCACGCTGTCATTTTACAGCTGTGAGAACTGGACCCAGAGACAAGTTACACATGACAGGGCTGGGAGAGAACCAGACAAACAAATCTAGTTAGTAACTATCTTAGATTATTCTTTATATGCTCTAAAAATATGAATTTTTTCTGCAAAAAAATAAACTTTACTAGGCACAAGTCATATGATTTCACCCACCTTCCTGGAGCCTTGCAACGATTTACCTCCATGGACACCTCCACCACTGCCATCCATAGCAGGACCCACCAGGCCCTTTCTGCCTCATCGTTACTCTCTCCCATCAGTGCCTTACTCTGCCAGTCTCCCTCCTCCCATAGAGCCCAGTCCATGCTCTTGCCTCTGCCTGAAGAGGTGTTCCCTCACTGCTCCCTATTAACTCCCACTCAACCTTGGGATCAAGCTGCACTTTCTTGGAGAAGTCTTGCTAATATCTCTGACCAGGCAAAATGTGCATGTACAGGCTTTCAGGGCACCTGGTACCCTTTCTTCATAGCTCTGATCACAGATGTATCTTAACAATCGTTTACTAAATTATTCGATTGTTTATTCTCCTTACCTGCTATTAACTCCAACATAGTAAAAATGATGCCTAGTACAAAATTAAGAATGAATGACAATCAAATCTAAAAGTTTCTTCTAGACCTTCTAGACTGGCCAGGTTCATGAGGGCCTCTAGAGTCCTGGTCTCAGGTTGCTCAGTCTCCCATAGCCAGTATAATCCTAGCCCCACTCCCTAGACAGAATCAATAGAATGAGCTGGAGAGTTATAACAGCTTGACAAAAAAAGAGAGGTCCTTTTTCCTGGGTCAGTTCCTGTGGAGGACAGTGAAGGCTGACGTCAAAAGCCAGGTTAAGTGCTTGGCAAAGCCACACTCAAGCACTTGTTATCTGCAGAGCAGAGCGAGCTGGCAACTGGTGACAGCCCGAGCCCGGGGCCGAGGGGGGGCGGCGTTGAGAAGGGAGTAGATAACCACAAGCTTCCACTGAAGACAACTCCAACCTTTGCAGAAGAGTTTTATCATGGCGATAGCTTGGGAAGGGAACAATCGATGCCCACAGCGTTCCCCTAAGTCTGTAAAACTCCCTTGAGCTTTATCTAACCAACCCCTATAAAATAAACACGGAGACAGTGGTCATTGTCATTGTCTCTCCATCAGAGGACAATGTCCCACCTGGCCCCTGCTTTTCTCTAAACCGTCTTGTGTTGTGTCTGTGCGTTGTGTTGTACTCTCTCAGACTCCCATCGCTCCCACTCAGGGACCACCACTCTGCCCAGGGCACAGCAAGTTCCTCTGTAACTGAGAATCCCAGGATCAGGGTAAAGAATAGAGAAAATTAACAAAGGAGCCAGATAGACTCAGGCTATACAACTAGGACCAGACCTGAGTCAGGTGAGGAGGAAAGAAGAGAGGGTGAGGAAAGAGTTTAAAAAAAAAAAGCCACAATGTCTGGATGTTAGTATTTGAGGGCATTTAGTGAGAGGCTCCTGAGCAGCTGTGGGATATGGGAGAAATGAAGAGGAGAGAAAAATGGGGTTTTTAGAAGTATGTTATGGGTGATGAACTGGAATCCTTACATTATTTTTTGATAGTTTAGTGCTAGGCTTGTCTTCTGGTGTGCCATTCTCTGCAAAAATTAGACCACTTCAGGAATTTTTTTAGCTGTGTGGTTTATCTATGAGTGATTCCTACACAAAGATAGAGGGATATAATCCAAACTCAGTACGGTCATCCCTGGAAAAGGGTGTGGAATTAGAAGTCAAAAGGTAACTTTTCATTTTTATCCCTAAATTGCTGTACTGCTAACATTTTCCATAGTTTGTGCCACTTATCTAATTTTTAAATAATAAATGTAGAAAGCATTACACGCTTATGTTAATTGCAGAATATGCAGCACTTGACTTGCACAAGAGAAAATCACAGTCCTGAGCAAAGTTGCTCCCAACTCTGAATGGGTGTTCAGTGACTGAGCTGTAAGTTCATGAGGTTGGAGGGAGCAACAATCTGATTTGTGGAGCCAGTGATTATTTAGATGTGCAAAGGCAGCATAGCAGTAAAGATGATCCTCTGGCTCTGTCCCAGGGAGACCTTGCTCAGGGGAAAACACAAGATTGCCTGCTCTTGTCCATCCATAGCGTATGCATATGCCAAATATTTTGTCTTCTGTGCTCATGCCCCAGGCCACAAGGGGTTGCTTTGAATATCAGTTGTCCCTCTACTTATATTTTAAATGTGTGTGTTTAGAGTTTCTACTTATAAATATCCACCCCAGAGCCTCTAGAGTTATCAAAGCAATGAAGAAGGACATGATACCTAGGAAGACTGGCCTTGGGACCCAGATGCTTGTCCCACAAAACTCACTTCTCCTTGGAGAATTCTCACTTCCTTCCAGGGCTGTCTCTCTTGGGTTGACATGGGGAATGTCTACCTGCTTCAGGGAGGCCTAGTCTCTTTCCTCAGGACTTTACCCCATGGCCACAGGTGGGCAAGCCGATCAGATGAGAAAATGTAACTCATAAAGCCACCACGGGTTCCAGCCACTTGCAAGGTCTAGTGATCCTCGAGCAGATCTGGTTTCACACTTCCTTCATTATCCAGGAAGGTGAACTTTGAATTTACCTACAGTCAGAAAACATGGTACCATGAGGACTTCATCATGGCCAAACGCTCTCCTCAGGCTAATCACAGGGTAGGCAAGAAGCATCCCTCCGCCTTCAAGTTTCCACCCTCAGATGCTGCAGAAGGAAGTGCACTCACAGCGTTCTAGAATGCACAGGGATCCGATGCTGGATTTGCACCGGCTTGGTCTGCTTGGTCATGTCCATGCAAACCTTTCCTCTAGTTGAGAAGAAAGAGTAAGAGAGGGAGGCAGAAGAGTTTCTGATGGAAAAATATAGACCAAATACACAGACAGGAAGTCACTGAGTTGCATTCAAAGCTTTATTCTTGCCAAAGTTTGGGGGTTGCGCTAACTCTGGCAGGCTGCCTTGATAAACAAGCAAAGTGTGGAGGTGAAACAATAAGGTTCTACATAATCAGGAAGACAGGGAGGGGGACAGGGGCTGGTGAAGTTCTAGAAGACAGAGCAGGTAGTGAATTCAGGAGCAAAGCTCTTTTTCTGTATTTAACAGCAGCAGTCATCCTCGTGATTACAACAGCATGCAGGACCTCGGGACCTCATGGGAATAATTCCCAAACAGCCTACCCTAGAGCAGCAGCAGCAGCACCCAGAGCTGCAGCATTCAGAGCTACAGCACCCAGAATCCTCACAACAGCCAGCTGATCCTGAATTGCATTCCTGGGGTCGTTGGACCCAGCGTCTGAGGGGACTCACCCCGAAGGTCCGGGGAGCCAGGCAACAGTAGCTGGTGGAACAGGGAGCTGAGCATGGATCAGGGACAGAGGACATGGTGGCTGAGCCACTTGCAGGAGCCTGAACATAGTAGGTCTGGCAAGGAGAAGTATACTGAACATAGTATTTCTGGGTCTGGCATGGAGCTGGGCACTTCACATAGGTCGTTTGGCATGGAGCAGGGCACTTCACACAGGTCGTTTGGCATGGAGCTGGACACTTCACACAGGTCGTTTGGCATGGAGCAGGGCACTTCACACTGGTCGTTTGGCATGGAGCTGGGCACTTTACAAGCGTCTGGCAAGGAGTTACACATTTCACATAGGTCTGAGTTGGGCAAGGAGCTGGACATTTCACACAGGTTGTCTGGCATGGAGCTTGGCATGTCACATAGGTTTGAGTTGGGCACGGAGCTGGGCATTTCACATATGTTGTCTGACATGGAGCTTGACATGCCACATACGTCTGAGTTGAGCTTGGAGCCACACCTTTCACAGAAGTAGTAACAGTGGCACCTTGCCCAGCCCCCAGTCCCGAACCTTTCACACAAGATGGAGGGAATTGCACCTGCTTCTGCTGGTCACACATCTTTCAGTGGCTTTGCAAAATCTGGAAAGAAAGTTTTCATCAGTACTAGGGAGATTTCCAGGGGCACCTATAGCAGCAGTAGCCTTTCAAGAAGGTCACAGGCACCCAGGAGCTGTCAACCAGGGATTAAGATGGACTCAGCCACCTTAGGCTCAGCTCTTGTTCTTTTATCTGGCTGTGTGACTTTGGATAAGTCACCAATCACCATTGGGCCTCAGTTTCCATGGTGGAAAATGAAGGGCTTGAATGAGTGATATTTGCATTTCTATCCAACTCTCTAAGCCTCTCTTCCCCTTAGTCATTTTAGTGTCTGCATTATAAATTCTTCGTGGAAAGTTGCTGTTTCCCACTGATTTTACCTTGCCATCAATTTATTCGATAGTGGCTGTCCTTCCTCATGCCCAGCCAGGCATGCTCAGGGGAGGCAATTTCACGTCAATAGACCCAAGCCAACATGAGTCTCAAACTGAGCCTGACAGAACCAACAACACCAAATTTGAGTAAGTTTCCACCATTGCTCTCTAGATCAGCTAGACTATCACTTTACCTCATTAATGGATCAAAGAGAAGGCAGCATGACTGTACTTGGAGAGAACAGCGACCTAGTTCTTTGAAAATCCCTTCTCCCATAGGCCTAATGGCTCTGCTCGCATCTCTTCCTCTCCCCCAATCCTCCAGGCTACTGCTACTGCCATCAGCCTCCTTCAGCCGCTGTCCTCAGTGCCTAGTCCTGACCACCCTCACCCCACAGTTCTTAATGCCAACTGTATCAAGGCTCTCTTTCATGCTATGTCGTTATCCCAGGAGCAGAGACTTACCCTCCTTGCTGACAGGAGCAAGGCTGGAAGAAGCCAGTAATCTGAGGAACTGGTAGTCAGGGAGGCCTTTTATAGGGCAATAGTGAGGCAATTTAATGGCATCTGAGTGAAGCACCAATGATCACGTGCACAAGGGCTGGCATTGCATTGGTAAGATTCCTCCCCAGTATGCCTGGCTCTTAAGTCATAGGCAGGGCATGTCTCTGCTTGACACTGAATTTTCCTGAACATGAGATAAATGACTCTGGAAACCTTCTTCATGAAACAAGTCAGTCTTCTTGTACTAGAAATTAGGAGATGAGATGTGTCCCTATTAAGCTCTTTCTAGGTTGCTTGAGTCTTCAAGGACTTGTCCAAAATGTGGTTAGAGGCTCAATTTTTGTATGCTTTGCCAAATCTATACTGCATGTTCCCAGCCTAAATGGTGTGTTCTTCCTGAAGGTTTCTATAGTGGCTTATGCTGGTCTGGGGTGCTGCACAGGAAGAGTATGGCTCAGTGGTCTCTCTTCAATATGGCAGCAAAGCTGTCAAGAAATGGCTTGTGTCATGCACTGACAGGTTATTTTAAGTTTATTTGGAAAACTAAGTGAGTTCCTGATGATCCCAGACTCCAGAATCTATATCTAGACTGTCTCTCTTCACCTTTTCATGCCCTATGACCTCCTCATCCTCACCTTTCTGAACTCTGGTACCATGCCTAGATCCCTAAGAGCCCAGCACAGGGAGAATTCCAGCCAAATGAACACCGTGTGATAACAATAATGGTAGACTCTAACATTTAGTTGAATTATCTTTATGTACCAAACTGTTCATAAGGTGTACACACTTACAGATGACCCCATCACTGAGGCCCTAAAAGACTAAGGAAGTTAACTATTGTCAGAAGAAAGTAAGTAGAGAAGTTAGAATTTAAGTGTGGGCAGTCAGCTTTCATAAGCCATGATCTTTATCACTACAATACATTGCCTTTTTTTTCTGGGCATAGAATTGTCCCTGAATCTCTGCCTCATTTCCTTTCCCCAGTGCAGTGTATGTAGGAAGAGAGGTAGAAATTATATGGATTGAGAACTTACTACATACTGAATGCTGTCTTACTGTTTTATCTTTGTTACTTCATTTGACCTTCACAATAACCCTGTTATGTAGGCTATGTTTCACAGAAAAGAAACTAAGACCCAAAGGTCTAACAGTTTCACCAAGATCACCCCATTGGTAGGAAATGGGGTATCATTCAAACCCAAGTTTATCTAGTTTCAGAGTCCATATTCTTCCCACGAAGCCATGTTGAGTTGCCCACTATAGAAGGTTATCTTGCTGCTGAGCCTAGCACTGGCTCTCAATGGCCATGCCCTCAAATCAGCCAAGCTGGGCCCCACCATGGTCCCTGTGTCCTCTCAGCTGAAAGCTGCTTCTGCATTTGTCCATAACGGACCCCCAAATACCCCAGGACTCATAAACCTTAATGCTCTAAAATTTCCTGAAATAAAAAACCAAACAAACCCCCACTACTTCATAAACACTTCCCACTCCAACCCAGGTCTTTCAAAGTCTGACCCAGAACAATTGGGTGGAGGCAAAAAGGGGAGGTCCTGCCCCAGGCATGGAAATTTTCCTATTTCCTCCTGGCATTAATGCCTCTGGTGGGTTTGTAATATTCCATAGCTTCCCCTGTGAAGCCCACCAGTCCCTCCCCGCAAGGGATGGTGTAAGTGGGGAGGAATGTGATTTCAGGACACTTCAGTACCTGCTCTTCCACCTCAGTTAATACCCAGGCCTGATGTTGTATGAAGGAAAGGGAAAAGAGATGATTTTTATTAGGGCCAGACACTTTACATGGCATACCTTATCAAATTTTATTCCCATAATACAGTCTCAAATAAAAAGTAAGTAAACAAACAAATACATCCAAGCTCACATGACTAGAAGTGATAGATTCAGAATTTGAACCGAGGAATAAGAGACAAATTTTGCTGCTTTTTCCACCACAACATGCTGCTTCCAGTATTAAAGTCCATGATGTTTTAGGAAATATACCTTTCAGCACCTGACAGACGCAGTCAAGAAGACCACTATCTTACACGTAGGGTGGGACAGCTCCACTGTACAGGGAAGAAAATGCCCTAGGAGGCCAGCCATTTTAGAGCATGTCAACAAGGGAGAGAGTTCAAGGCACAAACAGAACGAAGCCCTTGTCCTGGTTCTGCCACTGCCTCACAGGGTGATTCCTCTGTGCCCTGCTGTCTCTTCCACTCTAATTATTTTTATTAAATTTATTGAGGTAACATTGGTTAATAACATTATATAATTTTCAGGTATACAAGATTATAATCTGACATCTGTATACTCTAATGTGTGCTCCCCATCCAAAGTCTAGTCTCCCCGCTTGCCCCTCTGCCCCTCTTCCTCTCTGGTAAACGTTATTCTGCTGCCTGTTATCTGTGAGGGTTTTTTGTTTGTTTCATCAGTTCCCTTGTTACTTTTTGTTTCATATTCTACATATGAGTGAAATCATATGGTTTTTGTCTTTTTCCATCGGCTTACTTCACTTAGCATAACACTCTCAAGATCCATAATGTTGTCACAAATGACAATATTTCATGCTTTTTATGACTGAGCAATATTCCATGTTATATATATAGACAGATAGATAGAGAGATACAGATATAGATATAGATAGATATATCACATCTTTATCCAATCATCTGTCAATGGTTCTTCTACTCTAAAATAGAATTAGATGAGGCCCCTCCTGGGATAGTCCATGATTGTAGAACACTGGTCTACAAAGGAAATGTACATTTCCACATCCTAGCCACCCATGGAGTTAGTCCCACTAGACTATATGTAATTCCATGCATCAGTAACTGTGGGTGCATTCACTGGCTCTATCACCTGGCTCTAGCACAGGACCTGGGGACCAATGACTTGACAAACATAAATGGATGAATGAGTGGGGATGCTTTACACTGACAGTGCCCCCTAGACCAGCTTCCTTCCTCCATATGGTGAGAGCCCATCATGCTATTAATCAATTTGTGTGTCTTGTGCCATCTGTGAGCTCTGATTGGCTCACTTCCTGCTCTGTGGGGTCAGGTTCTCACTAATGGGTTTGACATCTTCAGGCAGCACTAACATCCTTGGTGAGAGATGCTAATTCCATGTGCCACCAAAACAGGTGGGTGGGTTGTGCCCTGCCCATTTTATAGGCTGGGAAGGCAAGGCATGGTTAAGTCAGATTACTAGTACAAGTGCCAGGGTGACTCACAGGGTTATCTTCAAACCTATTTTTCTCTTTGGACACAAGCTCATAGAATCAGAAACGTGGATTCATGCAATAGTCGTCCAGTAGACTCATGGGATAATAGGGAAAAATATTCGTGAATTCACAGAATCAGAATCCTGGCATCTCTGACGTAGAGGGAACTAATACATGTCATCAATCTGGCCTCTGCCTGAAGAGACAGGTCATCTCACCTAATGGGCTGTTCTTCTTAGGAAGATCTTCTGGTCTCTAAAAGTTCTCTGCACTTCCTCTAGTTAGTTCATTTCAGGACTTACTACCCACTTCATAGTCAGGAAATGTATACTTGATTATCTCTAAAGATCCCTTATATGTCAGCATCTATAAATCCTGACATTAATTACATGTTTGAAGCTGTGCTCCTCAGTACATGAACCCAACCACGATTTTAACTCAATTTTAATCTCTTGATTGGGGCTGGTACAGGCCCATAGAACAGAGAAGAAATTTGCTCAAGGCCACACAACCAGGTCAGAGCGGACTCCAGACAGGAATTTCTGAATCCCATCCAGGGCATGTTCCATTACAGTATGTGATTACTGGACAGGCTTGCTACAGAGCTCCCTCACTTGGCCACTTCCTTGTCTCTCTCCCCACCCTCCAGATCCACCATGACTACCACAAGAAGAGCCAATGAAAGCCCTCTAAGTGGCATCCTCTGTGGAGTGGATAGTGTTCTCAAGAATTACAAGGGACTCCCATGTGTGCACATGTGAGTCATCAAAACATGAGAACCAAAGCCATACCTGGCTCAGAGTCCCATGAGCTGTTCTGGGCCAGGGGCACAGGGCAAGATCGCACCAGGGCCCTCTTGGTTGCAGAAGACAGGAAACAGTGGTGCCCAAATACTCCTCTTTCTCCTGGGATTGCTGGTTTCCTTG